TTACAATATTAACAAGCCCGGTTTTACAGTAGAAGTTGAGGTTCTCAATGTGTTGTCCATTTCACGACCTGCAACCAACATGTAAAGGAGTAAAGAGGTGAAACCATAAATATGCACTTCAACGATTCCATTTAATCTGTGTTATTGGCATAGCACCATCGGTTCTAAGTTGGAGAAATATTTTGTTATTCATAATACATTTAGATTAGCATTAATAGAGTTTGAAATTCAGAAGTGGAAATGGTTTGCCCAATTTTCCTTAGTAATCAGCAGTTTACAAATCCATTTTTCATTTTGACAATGTATTGCTTAGCTCGGAGAGTTTTCTGAATCAGATAAATCAACACTCTAAGCATTGATTTGGCTGGATTACTTATTTGTCACACATTCATGGTACCTGCTTATCCACGAATATTTGATTTGTTTATCGGTAGTTTTCGACAATGACAAATCATGTTCTGCTTCTCCTACTGCGGAGTTTATGAGCAACATTAACATTCAATTTTGTCTTTTATAAGTTTGACTTACATGAAAATTACCCCGTAGGTTAGGTCGATAAATCCCATGAAAAATGCAGGGTTCTTGGCTGCACACCTTGGTTGGAAATATCTTTTCGACAATTTCTCTACATTTAGATGGGTCACCTGTTCCTTTGAAGGTGACGTTCTCCGGAAGATCCTTCACGCCAAAAGTAATTGTGTGACATTAAGGCGTTCCATGCATTATTGGCATTGAGTACACTATTGGCCTGGGACGTGTCTAATTGCGTCAAGATGTTATTTAGTGGTATATTCTAAGCTTTGTGTAATTAATCAAAATTTGGCGGAATACAAAAACGAGAGCACACATCCTAAGAATACTGTAATAAACCAATTTTTTCCAGAAATAAGGTGCCATGGTTAATTACCCTTATCTTGCTAATAAAATTGCCTCCTTTCGTTGCGTGCTGTTTAATGCATATTGTACGTGACAACACGTACTACGTTCAACATTTCATATGGTATGGTATAGGCATTAGATGCAAGTGCTCGCATCATTTATACCAAATTAAGCGGAAAATTAGACTCACTTTGTGTGGAAATAATGCGGAACCAACCAAGACATCTGCATATTTTGATGAGACACATTGTTCCGCAAAAATTTTACTGGTTTTAACAACAACCATGTTGCCTTGATGGAAACAGGGATTGTCTATCTCTCTCTATAAGGAAGGGAATTTGAAAATCAACATCGTTATTAACTTTACATAACTGACTGTTCGGCATGGACGCAATTCAACGGAGACATAAATCATGTTTTTTTCATTTAAATTATAACTTTTGGCAACAATACTTTTGTATTTCCCTAAACGGAGCCTAATTGATAGTTTCCAATGTTCCATCATATATCGCCATTAGACATCAAGTATGAACTATTTCCCTTTTTGCAACAGCTAAACATTTCCGGACAATTATGTGAATTCATTTTATTAGCAATACAAGGAAATAACATTCTGGGACAAAGCTTTCAATCTGTAGAAATCTTACAGCGCTCTGATTTCCTATTATTTCAGCCCATATCCGCTTCTCAGCGGCAGACTTGCCGTAGCATAAGTAGCTGTAGCTGTACAGGTTAAAAGCCTTGCCAAAGAGATTTCGAGTCGATGTATGTGGGGCCGGTTTATTATTTTCTGGAACGAAGGTGATTTGAGTGCTGGCACCTCCGAGATCCAGGGCTCCAATGGTTTGTTTTTCATCTACTGGCGGAACATTTCGCTGCAATGTGTAGAAGTTAACTACAGTCTTAGTAAAATAAGACTGATAATCAAACAATTTGGCATTTGCTCAGTGAATTAAATTGCTTTTAGAACAAATACAGTTAAAAACAAGAGTTTAGTAGGCTACATGAGTTTGTATAGTTCGACAACAGTTCGTCCTTCTATCTATGCAGTGGAAAGTAAATGGTGTTATAAAATGTCACTTATCAGACCAACACCCAGAAATGATTAGGAACAAGAATCGATGGCAACTTTTACTAAAGTTCCTGGAACTATTCGTTGGGTGTAGTGATTAGGAGGGCATATAAAACAGGTGGAATAAAAGCGTGGAAGTTGAGGTCCCAAAATTAAAGTTATGGAGGCATTGAAGTTAGTCTCAACATATCCCTAGAGCCTGCAGCTCTTTACACAGCGGCAGCTGTAAATCACGCTTTCGATTGCGCACCTGACTTCATAATTGAACAAACGGCGGATTATTACAGCTATATACTGATACGTGCGAAATTCGTCCAAATTGTTTTAATAAAAACATTAATGCGTTCACAAAAAAGGCAAGAATTTGCATTATCACGTGAAAATCCATAAGTGATTAAAAAAATTCAAAGTCTACTCAAAATTACGCTACTTTTTTATTAACTTGAAAGTATCCACCTCCTCTTATAATTGTTTTAATAACATTGTGCTTGGCTAATCAGTATCAGTGCTTTTGCACTTCTCTACTGCTTAGGCAGGACACACTTCCCCAACTTAAATCATCTAACTTAATTATCCGGATTTATAGTCCTCAAGAAAATTTGATCTTAGGCAGACCTATGCTTTGGATTGAAGGAGATAATACTAAAGTTACTGTACTTTTCAGACATTTTATGGTAAGTTAATGTTAGCTTAGCTCCCTTTTTTGTTAAAGATGTCACTAAGGTGCTCCACCACTGTACATTTGTTGAGTGGACCGGCCTCCGGACTATGCCAGTAGTCTCAAGCTCTGCTGCATGTCACATATATATGTAAATTCTGCCTAGTATTACCTTTTTCTTCGCCTTCAGAGAACTCCTGGGTGCTATAATTTAGCCTCTTCAGGAGGGTTTTCTTTGATTTAAGCAGGTGAAAGTACGCGAATCTATTTAATTAATACAATTACTTGATTCTCCATGACCGTAAGCTTACTATTCTCAGGAGCCCTTTTATTGAAAATGTAACCAACTATGTAACACAGTAAAGGATAAAAGATCACGTAGTTCTTTCTGATTAAGGAGAGATTTGACTGTAAAGGTAAAAGTGGTAAGTAGCACCTAGTTTTTGATAAGGGAATGCATACACACATGTGTGTATTTATCCATAACTTTCTAAAGAAGTATTTCTCACTTGTACATAATTGGATTCGTGTGTAATGTATTGGCTGAAAATTTGAATGCAAGAATGATAAAGCGTTGATTTTTCAAAAATTACAGGCAGTGCCTATGATTTGATCATTATTTCTAGCGAATAATTCTGCTATGGAGTATCGATGTTATAACACAACCGAGGTAATGAAGCAGACGACTTTATTCAATTTATGATGGGCAGGCCTAACTGATTTATTTAGTATAATAGAGTTGTGACTTACGCTTCCTAGTTTTTTGGTCAGGTAGTTAACAGTTATCCATGAGTATATGCCTTCGTCCCTCCCGCTCATTATTCGAACATCAGAATATGGGTTATCCACCATTAACCCAACCTGGGGCAATTGTAGCTGAAGGCTCTCAATAACCGCTTCTGATTGTAAGGGGTTCTCTAACCTAAAGCATGATATAGCTTTACTTTTGTTGTTTCTGCATTAAAGGGAATATTGCTACGCGCTTCAGTTAGCATAGACGACAATGATCATACCTAAACATTAGTACAATAACTACGTAAATCGGCTAAATCGATTTCGACAATTGTTCAGTCCTTCACGGATGCATATTAGTGTGGTAATACTGGAAGGCAGCACATTAATAAATTTTAAGTTAGATTATACCCTCGATCATAAAAGATGGTATAACCTACGTTAAGAGACGCATGCCAGCTGTTGCAGCAAGAAACACCCGTGTAGAGTGTCGGGATTCAGCAGGTATAGTCTGTCCCAACAAATTCATTATATGGGGCTCTAGTGCAGCAAAGGCATCAGCTGATTTGTCCTTGTAGGCTGAGATTCCGGGTTCTTGTTCAAAAGTAAACAAAACAGGTGCTTTAACCTTTCTTAATATTTATGTCTTGATTTCGCAGAGGTTAATGTCTCTAATCCCAAGACGTCCAAAAGCACCCGCAGAAAATATCAATAGACCAACGAGTTGTGCTGGTCAATAACTTTATGCATACTACATCCATTTCATTTGAAAGGCTTGAGAAAGAATGCAACTCAGAGTGCATTGATGTATCTTAGTCAAGGATTCTACTTTCACAATGATCAATATTCTACAATAACTATTGAATCAAAGAAAGTTAGAGCTAGTTCTGATCTCTGTGGGACAGAAACATCTTTAAAGAAAGAATTTGTTGGAATATCAAAGCAAAATGCCACCTAAAAAAAGACTGTATGTAGGGCAAAAAATATAGTATTAAAAGAATTCCCAAAAAAAACCTGAATACAATTCATAAATTCTTATTATTGCTTACAGGTTATTTGAATTATCAAAGTTTGTTTAAAAGTCTTCAACGAATAAGCATAAATAATAAAGTAAACTTGTAAACCTACGAACTTTTGCCATCTTAACTTCTTCAACATAGCCATTCTTCTGGAATGGCCAGTCCTTCCATTTAAAAACCGTCAGCTTTGAGGAAGTAGATCCCGCATCAATCAAAAGTGTATACTTAAATAAAGAAAAGCATGTTCTTTTGGTTAGAGTACTTTCTACCAAACACATGCATAAATTCAAAATGCATTAATAAAACCAACTTCAACAGTTGTCAGTTGTAAAGTGATATTTAAACAAAACTTTCCCTTGTGACAGTGTTTTTCCAGGATGAATTGGTGAGATAAAATCCATATGTGACTCTTAAATTTGCATTACCATTAACAAAGTCAAGTTTGCACATTAAGGAAGGCATTTATTTAAAAAGGTCCTTTTTGTCGAATTTGAAGATGTAAAAAACCAAAGGTTAATGCTGAGAAGCGAAAAGGCAAATAGCGACTCACAACATATCCCACGTTACAAGCGATTGCATACAAAACAACCAATATTAGGATAGCTAAGAATATCAAAACCAGCAGGCCTAGTAAAATCCACTTGATATGCTTCTTTTGGATGATTTCATCAATTTTAGGATTCATGCCTGAAAAAAAAGGCATTGCCAAAAACTGAACTACATTTAAATAACAACACTGCTGACATAAAAAATTAATGGATTTAGCTGGTTAAGGAGCAACAAGAGAAGATATAACGTAAAAGGTGCATTTATACATATGCAAGAAATGGGAATAAAAAATAAAAAGTTGAAAAATCAAAGAGGTCTCAGGCAGTGAAATATACTACTTGTAAGGAGCATTAGAAAAATGTTTGGTTTAGGCATGTTTTTAATTGATACAACAATGAGTGCATTAATTGTGATAAGCTCATCAGGGAAAGATAGGTCGTACCTTAGACACAGAAAAGCCAACAAATGCGGCTTAAAGTTACAAATAAAAGAAACGTTATAATGTTTTTTACAGAGATACACGCCTTTTGAACTGGCGACTTCATGCAAATAAGTTAGCAGCAATGAAATCACATAAAGCTTTTATAATATCAAAAGCGGCATGACCTAACAACTGTGCCGGTTCGGAATATTCAAACAAAAAAATAGGCGAAATCAAAAGCAAAGGGATGGCAATAAAGCATGTCTTTGCCTTTTTTTAAGTACAGCTAATAGTAAAAATTGTCCCATTTTTAGTGATTTAATGCCCAAAAGACTAAAGGAATGAGCGACCCAAGTATTTTATCGCAAAAAATTGAAGATTGGTTTAATGAGTCGTTTGGGGTTTGTGGACAGCTTACACTCTGACGCTGTACATTTTTTGTAAAAAGTGGCCTTTAGGCCAACCCAGCAGCTCCCAGCCCTACGTAGGTAAGGAAATCATATTATGCGCTAGCTATATCGCTCCTTTCAATTTCAGGAAAGACTGACACCGGTGGCAGCAGATTGCAAACTTGATTCCAAAGAACAACTAATCCAATCTTCATTACTTATTTCTAAGGCCATAAGTGGACGTAGAAGGGCATCTGGTATTGATTGGAAATTCTGTAACAACCTCTAAAAGAGAAGGTTGAAAATGGCGCCTATTGTTAGCAGCTACCTCAGTCCCGTGTTCTGATGAAATATGGCTACCAAGTAAAATTTACGTAAGCCATGTCTGTTCTCA